AAATAAATAAAATGCGATCTCTGCCAGATCATGTCTTAAGATTTTATATGAAGAATTTCTTCCGTTCCTAAACTTCATCTCTGTTTCTCACTCCATTTTTTTTTTAACTTAAGAGAAGAAGAAGTGTGTTAACAATTTCTCACGTGGGAGTGAAAATTGTTCACTCCTTCTTCTTCCTCTCCCTCCCCACAAGCCTTCACACTTTACACGTGTACACACTGACACGTGGGTGTGAAACTGACCCAGGCACCTCCCTGTTAAGTCTGCCTGGCCAAACATCGGCCTGTCCTGTGAATTTTTTCACCCCCCCCACCAATTCATGGCTTTCCCCCCCACCTTCCCAAACACTTTCCAGCAAAATCCACATGGCCTGTCTGCCTTCTCTGATCTCCCTGGCATTTAAAAATGGAGATCCAATTTTCTGTCCCCCCAGCGTCCGCTTTTCCAAAAGGAAAGGACCCATAGACACCTCACGGCTTGCTCCACCCCATAGTTTACAGCCAAGTGTGGATAGGGAGTTACACATCTCCTCAACCCCTGTGATCTGCTTTGTCTGGTGTGGCTTTACTAACACCCCACCAGCAAAGTAAAAGAAACAAACAAGACGGTTGAAATCAGACTCGGCAAGCAACACCACCCCATCACTTCAAATATTTGCCTGACATTCAGTCAATCTTTCCGGGCCACTGAAGCTTTGATTCTCATCCGCAAGAAAGCTTACAGCCTTTTCTCCAATCCAGACCCCCCCCCCCCGCCTCCATTCCTAAATAACAAAATAGTTTTCTTTCCTAACTGTGATGCATAGAAGGAAGCCAAGGAAAGGGGCAACACAAAGAGAAAAGGAGAGAAAGGAGGGATGGAGGAAAAAACAACAACATAAACAACAAGAAGGAAAGCGTGCTGCTTTGCAGAGGACTGAGAAATGACTTGAGGACGAGGGTGATGAAGAAAAGCAAAGCCGAGAAGACAAAATGAAAAAAAAAATTACTCAAGTGTCTCTCTCTCCAATTCAATTACATTTTCTTCCAAATTAATGCCTATAGAATTACACATGGAAAGAGTGGTCTAACTTTTAAGGTCTGAGCTCTTTTCTCAGCATTGTCCAGCTCTACGTTCTGCATTATATTATTATTATTATTATTATTATTATTATTATTATTATTATTATTATTATTATTATTATTATTATTATTATTATGTAAAAAAGATGCTGAGACTCTAGAAAGAGTACAGAGAAGAGCAGCAAAGATGATTAGGGGACTGGAGGCTAAAACATATAAGGAACGGCTGCTGGAATTGGGTATGTCTAGTTTAATGAAGAGAAGGACGAGGGGGGACATGATAGCAGTGTTCCAGTATCTCAGGGGCTGCCACAAAGAAGAGGGAGTCAAGCTATTCTCCAAGGCGCCTGGACGAGAAGCAATGGGTGGAAACTGATCAAGGAGAGAAGCAACCTAGAACTAAGGAGAAACTTCCTGACAGTTAGAACAATTAACCAATGGAACAACCTGCCTCTAGAAGTGGTGAATGCTCCAACACTGGAAGTTTTTAAGAAGAGACTGGACAGCCGTTTGTCTGAAATGGTGTAGGGTTCCTGCCTGGGCAGGGGGTTGGACTCGATGACCTCCAAGGTCCCTTCCAACTTTATTATTATNTAGGCCAGGGGTAGGCAACCTTGGCTCTTTTATGACTGGTGGACTTCAACTCCCAGAATTCCTGAGCCAGCATGGCTCAGCATGGAAACCTCTCCATTTCCCCTCAGCATGGCTGGCTCAGGAATTCTGGGAGTTGAAGTCCCACAAGTCATAAAAAAGCCAAGGTTGCCTACCCCTGGTCTAGTGGTTAAGGCACCATTTAGAGACAGGAAGTTCTAGTCCCGTCTTCTTCATGAAACCTGGATAGATGGCTTTGAGCCAATCACTAGGAGACAGTGAGTTCAAATCCTGCCTTAGGCATGAAAGCTGGCTGGGTAACTTTGGGCCAATCGCCAGGAAACATTGAATTCTAGTCCTGCCTTCGTCACGAAACCCGGACGGATGACTTTTAGCCAATCACCAGGAAACTGCGATTGTTCTAATCTATGAAAGCCAGCTTTGAATCAGTCACTCTCTCTCTCTCTCAGCCCAACCCACCTCACAGGGCTGTTGATGTAGGGAAAATAGGAGGCGGGAAATTAGGTATATTTGCTGCCTTGAGTTACTTAATAAGTAATGAAAGGGTTTTTTTTAAAAAAAATCTAATAAATAATAATATAACCTCGCTGCGAGATGGGTGG